CACGGGAATAAGCAAATGAATTGATTAAAAACAACACTTATGAACAACTTTAATCTTACCATTCATCCCATATCACGCATTTTCTCAAGGGCCAGGCATGAAGCCTGCTTGTTGTTGAAACAGTGCCATCCTTTGGTCTCTTGTGTCAGTTTCTTTTGATTGTTTCACTTTCATTAGTTTTTTACTGTTCTTTTAAATGTTTGCACTGAATGCTGGTCCTGTGTGTGGGTAGTAATTTGGGCCCCTGGTGCAAAATGTTGGGCTTTTGTAGACATGTTCGAGTAGTTCATTCGTAGGTCATTATAGAAGCATGTTTCTGATTTGTGCGACAGTAATAGTCAAGGCTTGGGTAAAAAGTCAATATCAAGTGAGTCAAAAGACACTTTAAATGGATGGTTCTCATGTTGAAGCCATTTATATAGTTGTTTGATTTTACTTTATTAGTGTTGGGTCAGGCTCACTGTCTGAAATAATAATAGAATTATTGACAAGTTCAAACTAGCCTATTGAGCATCCAGCTGTAACCCTGCACTATTTTTGCTATTTTCCATTGTTGGATGGAGCTGCTATTCAAGTGGAAAATACAACTGTGTTCGCACACAGCAAGTCACATGAAATGAAGCGTACACGAAATAGTAGGTCAAATGTACAAGAAAAGCCATGCAGCGACTAACCATTAGTCATTTCATAGAAAAACATTATGGCTGGACTGCCTTTTGTGTGATTATGAAAACATATTTTTAATAGATTATTAATAGGATAGATCAAATGTTTGCATTGGGTCTTAACTTAAAGTATCACACACTATCAGAGGCGTAGGGTCATTTTGAAGGAGACGGACACAGATGTAGCAGACACACATTTCTTCATGTGTTCTGTTTATTTTCGTTTTACACTTCAGATGTTTTGAGGAGGAATAACATTTAGGGTAACACTATAATTTCACACTATGAAGCATTAGTTAAGTATGAGTAAACACTTAATTCATCATTTATAAAGCATTGTTCCTACATTAACACTCATTAGTATGCAATTCACAACAGTTATAAATGTTTTATTCTTCATTAATAAGCTCGTCTATTATGTGTTTCATGATTGTGTTTTCATACTTTGTAAATTATGGATTCCCCATTTGTAAATGAAGTATTATATATATTACAAACCAATTATTGAGGAGTTGTAGATCATTTATAAAGTGTAAGTAAATGATTAAGAACTTATTTAGATGTACATTATTCATGCATTTAAATATATATAATGATTTAGATATGCACTAATGGTTAGGAACTATGTTAATATATGCTTTATAAACGCGTATTAACACTGCAATTCATAATTAATTCAGGTAGTTACTAGTCGTCAGGAAATTTTTTGTTTTGTGTGACCTCATCTGAAGTGAGGACTATTTATGCCTTACAAAGCATTTATAAATGACATTGAAAGGCCAGCAGTGCCTCAAAACACAGTTTTTCAACAGAAAAGGCAAATAGACACAACACAATCTAATCAACTCCTCCCAAAATTAAACATGATCACACCTCCTGCAATTAACTTTAGCCATTTTAATAACCATAACAATGATCTTTACCCAACCCTCACCAGGTGTATTACCTGCCTAACCTGAATGATAGCTTAACCACGGTTCATTTGCCATAACCATGATCTGTGAAGTTGTAACCTTACAGTTGTTGCCATGTGCAGATATTTTATGAAATGAAACTTTAAAACATTTTGAAAGCTATTGTCAAACAAGACCTCACGCTAGTGGTTATGTAAGGCTGTCATTACAGCGGTGCTTTAAGCTAATTGCTAAAATCAATAAACATCAACATGTTCTCAATGACAATGCTAAGATTATGATCTTATTCTGGTATAATATTCACCATTGTCACCGTTTTAGCTGAGCATATTAGCATATTAGCATGGTATAATGTGATAATTACCACATTAGTTGTGGACCGACCAAGCGACAGACCAACAATGCCATAGAGCCATGCCATTAAATGCTTCCAGGGTTTTAGAATATCGTCCCATATCGATGTTCTTTTTTGGCAAAGGGGTTGTGAAGTGTAGATCAAGAATCTGTAAAACTCCCAAAAGTATAACATTTTTCTTTTGGATATTGTGCATTTAGCTGTGGACTACTGCCACACCAGGGCCATTTGTTTTCAAGTTCAGCTTCAACAGTCTTTTTTAACTTTTACAAAATGAATCAGCATTTATCTGTACTTCTTCTCTCCCTGAGCTAAGCTGTTATTGAGCTTGAAAATAACTGGCACTGCAGACACCAGGGGCCAAAATCCCTGAATGACAGCAGAAATCAGACAGGTAATGGTAAAAACAATCACAGAAAACACTTGCCTACAGAATAGTGATGCAACTGTTGTAGCTAACATCAAAGTACATTTCCAGACTTATTGGGTCAAAGAACCCAATTAGGACCAGGTGTCTGAGATCATGACGCCGGTGTTCTTCAGTATATTTCAGTCGACCATGCCCAGAACACCTGCTGGAAAGTACCTTGGGTTTTCTGTTAAAGGTAATAAAACCACCTAAATTGAAGAAGAGGCAGTCACACGATACTGAAGTCATCCCAAATCACCGAACCTCATAGACTGTCAATAAATGTCATTTGAATTCTAAAAAACAGTACATTGGTTTAGTGGGCTCATTGCATTATTCTATGTAAAAGCAGGAAAGCAACACATGTTGAAATTACAGCGAGAGACAGAGGGAGACCATGAAAGAAAGTAAGACACCATATGGGCTGTGAAACATCTGTTGCCCCAGGGGCCGGCAGGAACCGATGGTGCCCCATTACTCCCATGGATAATACATTATTATGACTGAATAAATAAATAAACCATTAAGTCACTTAAAATTATCCTCAGCCCTTAAAGGTTTCAGAGATTTCACTGTTCATCTGTTTCATTATGCTATTGTAGTACTATATATGCAGGAGAGTGAACTATTTTATGGGATATTGGCACTGGTGTCAGTGACACTCAGCTTCTTGCTTTTTGCCTGTGACTGCTGAACACCACCGCCTCCTTCTTATGTATTATAGCTTAATCACGCACTATTTAGCAGTAGAGAGACAGTAATAGTTTAACTGTTTAATCGTTTATAATTGTTCAGGCCCCATACTCAAAATGACAAGAATAACCAATGAAAGACGGGCAAAGTTTAACCACTGGGCTTATTGTACACACTTAACGCACATAATGCGTTTAAGGGCTCAGTAAGACTGTGCAGTAAACATGACTTTGTCCTGAGGCAAAACATCTGCAACAGACATTAACTCAGTTGTTACAGTTATTATAAGAGAACTCTATCTGCTTAAACCCTTTGTTTAACAGCACCCTACATTTGTTTTGCTTGTATTCAAAGCATGTTTGCGTTGTACTTGAGAATTTTCTGTTTTACATTTTTGTTTTTGCAACTGGAATTCTTAAATAATTTCCTAGTCTGGATTTGTAACATGTGGGACTTATTTTTGAAACCCAACTCTTAAAAGCAAAATGCAAGTGGTCAATGATTTTTTTAGGGGGGGAATCTAATAATTCATCCTTCATCCCAAACCAGAGACCATCTTGTGACGGGATCACACCAGCTGCAACGACGCTGTTTGGGCCAATGGCCCCTTCCCCACTTCCTAACCCTTCCTAACCTATTTTTAGTGGCCATGGTCGGACCACACCCATCTTCAAACTCAGCCTTCATTTTGATGTCAACTTATGTCCAAGTACTAAAACCTTCTTCAGTGATAGATAGATTCTATCCCACTATAGTAGGTGTCCCCTGTACCACATTTTTGTCATGATCACACACACACACGCGCACACGTGCACGAACGCATGGACTCACAAGGTGACAACAGTACCAGCCGCCCACCACACGCTGGAAACAAAGGTGTAACAGCGACCTTAAAAAGTAATTATAATGACATCACTTTATGTCATTAAGTAGGGACACGCGGCCGACCATCACCGACTCCTTCAGTTGTTCTGTTAACACTGCAACATGCTACTACATTCGATTTTGTCATCTCCACATAAGCTGACAGTAGACTCCAAATAGAAATGTCAATCAGTTAATATTTGATAAATCAAACTATGCCATGAGTTCATGGCCATTCCTTAATGTGTTGCATTATCTCTGCCATATTAAATTACATAAAGTAAAATAACTTAAATCAAACAGACTCTGGCAGATGTCTACATTAGTGTGAAATGACTTGGCATGATTAAATAGACCTCCTAGACCTAGATTCAAGACAATTATTTAAAAAAACAAATGTAGTCAGAATCTTGAATACCGTTTTCTAACAGCAGTGTACAACATGTGGTTCTGAATACACTAAAGGAGGGTATTCTCTGTCGGCTTGCCATCAGCTCTGAAACAAAGCCTTAAGAGGAAAAAAAAAAAACACCAAGGGATTGTTAGAATTCCAACGACTGTGTTAAAATAGCAAATCATTAATCTATTTGTCCACTTTCCTGCCCGACAATTCAATATACAGTCTGCCAATCCTCACAGGTTTTCACGCACTGTCATTGTGTGGCCAATATTTGCTTATTGGACTGGCTGTGTTTGAAAGGTGCCAACTCTCCAGTTGGAGACACACTAAAGTATTATTGGGCAGATTTGCTCCAGATTTGTCCACTAAAAACAATGAAGGGAAAATCCCAAACGAAAGCTTTGTTGGATCAGCTGTAATCACTGATTGTGTTTGTTCTTTAAAATTATAAATTCAAGAAAAAGATAAGTGCAATAACACCAAAGTAATGTGTTAGCCAGGGTTTCCCTGGCAACACCAATGATGTGTCCCAGATACATACTACATGCTGTAACCTAGTTGTGAGTATATCGTGTGTTTATAACATTATTTAGTACACTCAAAGTCATGCATGCATACATAATGCATACACTTGATTGTTGAGTATTGTGGGTGGTGATGTGAGTATTCTATGATGGAAACAAGGAAAAGAAACACTCACAAAATCTTCAGAGAAACATTCGGCCTTCTTTAGTTCAGTTGGCTTACATCAGATTGATCAGACTGATGGCTCCCCTCTTGTTTTGTTGTTGCCACAGAAAGTAAATCACAAAGGGGCTGACCATCTTTGATGCGTACCCTGCATTAACATAAAATGATGTTCCATTATTTCAAATGAGCTCACCTTGCCTCTAATTATCCAAGTACAGTATATTGAGAATATTGTATTCTCTTTCATAAAATATCATCGACCCTCACACTAACATTCTCTATTTAGTGTCAAACATCCCTATTATTCCCCGTAATTGGTCATAACATCATGAGATCATTTTACATTGCATGCTGCTGTACAGTTAGAAAGATTTCCTTATTATCGAGCAAAATGTCTCAATTTGATTCTACTCAATTGTCTCTTTGTGCATGAAACTATCAGGTGTTTATTTCAGTAACATCATGAGCCTGTTTATGCTTTAAAATGGGGGATATCGCTGTTTTTGAGTGCATTCATACACTCTACAATGAAAAAATTGCATATTAATACAACACATTCATCAATTAAATTGTTTTATTGATTAAATTCCACATCTGCAAAGAGAAGATTTTCTACCAAGCTTTACATGCTGTACTATTGACTTTAACTTACAATTTGAGTGCTTTGAAAATGTGGCAATATTGCTAAATTTCCAAACTTGAACATATTGAAAGAAATGTGCTACAAAATGAAGTACACACTGTACTCACTGTATGCAGTGTAAATGCTTTTTCAATCAACCACAGAAAACATTAACCACCTCATCATTCGTTCAAAGATGTACGACTAAACAATGTATGAATAGCATATAATAGCCCCTTCCTCACCTATGTATTAATGTGAGGTCTCCTTTTTGAAGTAGGTATAAAGCACAAGTAAATGCATTTATCAATCTCACTGAGCCTTATCGAAACCTCACAAAGTAGTGAATGAGTCTACTGCAAGTACCACAAAATGGATACACCCAAATGTACTTAAAAATTGTATTCCTGTCATCCAACAGCAGCCAATAACTACATCATAATAAATTACAAAAGCTCCCAGTTTCTGTTTGTGTGATCAGCTGAACAGACTGATATTAGCATTATCACTTTGTAGTCTTAGGTTCCCAAAGGAATCGTCATTGGATGAGATATCAAAATAGCTTCCGCTCCTCACACCCCCAATGACTCCACATTCATCAGTGGAGGAAATTAAATTAAGGCCCTGACAACTTGATAATAAGGATTTGGTTGGGGAATAAAGAACATTTTTGAGGTGTAACGAGCTCCCATTATTCATAAAGCATAATTATAGAGGCCGGTGTGTAAATTAAAGAATACTGCCCTCGTCGTCATTGTGATTGTGAGGCAAAGAGAAATAATGGTTAACACTGTGTGTGTTGTCTGTGGCACCCAGTAGTTTGTAACATATTCGCCTGTAATATATTCGTTTGTAAGATATTCGCTTCGATACAAGCTCACATTTCGGAAGCTCTGTCTGAATATGATCTCGTCTTTGGGTCCAACTCGTGGCAGTAAAACAATATTGTTAATTATTTTTGCAAAGTTTCAAAAGATTTGAACGTGTATTCGTTTGTTTCTTCCCCCGATATCCAACGAGCTTCATCTCGTCGAAGGCGCTCACATGCATATGTATGCTTGGAAGTTGTTTGGGTTTCTCAATATGTTTATTTTAAAATCTTTTTTTAGCTTTACTCATAATGTTGTGTTATTCCAAAGTAGATTGTCTTGATGTTGGAAATTATAATGAGATTTATGTTTCTAGGACACCATCGGAAATGAGGCTTTAGTCTCAGTAGGATATTTCAAGCACTCATCTGCTGTTTTTTTATTTATTATTTGAATCAAATAACAAAGCAGAAGATGATAGACAGGAAGAAAAGAAACAAAGGAGATTTGAGGCTTCGTTTGAGTGCCGCACAACCAAACAATGAATAAAATGAAACATGAAAATGTTTTGAGGAAGTGGCCTTGCAGGGGTGCTATCAGTATGTTTCTCAGCTGTTCATTGGGGATGAATCAAAATCAAGAAGGATATCAATGTGGGAATTAATTAATAGTGATATATTGACAATAAAATATGACAAATGTTTTAAAAAATTGGGGTAATATGTCTTCGATATGTCTGACCTGTGCCCTTGGGTGTGTTCTGGAGGGCAATTTTCAGCATATTGATCAATTTAAATTGATTTTGCTGTAATATAGGGATGTAACTGTTTAATCATTGCATAATTTTTACGTTATTATGATTATTCATTATTATATGAATCATATTGTCATTATTATTTATATATTGTCCATTCATAATGTTATTATTAAATACTTTGAAATCATGTTTTTAGTTAATAAAGACTGCACGTGGATCAGACATCATGATATTTTTGTCTTTCGACATGGTAACTGTGACAGATTAGGCAACCATGAATTCGTCATGAATTCTTGAAGTGACTTGGCTGGGAGACAGCAGATGTACATGTCCCCGACCAAACATAGATGGTAATCCTTCACAACCTGCACGAGGTACATAGATGATCAGGAAGGAGGCGTGAGGGAGCGTTCACCTCACAGCACCATCGACATCGCTCCTTATTTGTGAGCGGAAGAGCACTGGTAATGTGAGTAGTACGAGTGTGTCGCGGCCACGGCAGTGGTTTCCTGTTTGCCTTTCTGCTTGTCTTCCAGTCTACCTGGCTAGTGCATACTAGTAGAGGAACGAAGCGCAATCGGTGTGGCCATCAATCATTTTTAAAAGGCCCCCATGTCTCTTGGGCCTTGCCATTACCGGGGAGTAGTCAGCCTGCGCTCTTTGTAGTTGTTCCTGCAAGCAACAAGTGACAAAGCTGGCAACATTGAAGTGTAAAGAACACTTTAAAAAAACTGTCACATGAGTAACACAGAGGTTTTTTAAGTGTGACTTTTGACTCCAGTCGTCATGCCACCAGAGTAATGGGTGACGAGGAGCAGATGTGACTGTGTCTGTTATTGCCTCACTCAAGGCTGAACCCCGGGAACATCACAAGTCTAATGAAGACGACTCTGATGTTTTGAGAGAAATAGAGCATGCGATGTTGGGGGACCTCTGTGACAGATACTCTGATCAAGACGCTCTTCTCACAGGTAAGCCAAGGTAATACATTCTTGCTCTGAATGGTTTCTATCGTACCTTGTGTTTGGGAGTGGGTGTGCGCCCATATGCTCTAATATCCTTTTCCCTTTTTAATCAGCATCGACATTGGACCCACACATCAAAGGAGCTGCCTCTCCTTGAAGTTAAGTACGCTTGACTAGCTGCTGAGGTGAATGACAACCAGGTAGGCCTACAACAACAAAAACAACAACAGGAAATTGACCACATCTAAGCTGCTTTTGAAAGGGCTCATTAAGCTGTCACAGACTACTGGAGGAGTATTTATTGGACCTGATTTCATAAACCTAAAATTTGTGAGTGAGTGAATGGCTCACTTAGCACCACAGTGGGCTAGAATCTCTCCAACGGAGACCTCTTGAACCTGGAACGTGCGGTTGAATTAATAATCATGCGGAAAACTTCGAGCTTGTATCATATCTTGCTTTCATAGTTACTTACACACGCACTCATTCACACATCTCCCCAGTCGGCCGCTCTCATTAGCTCACCAACGTCCTTCCCCTGACAGTATTGAAAGGTTTAAGTTGGTGCTGTGACTACTACCATTACTGCTACTGCCACAACTGATATGTCTATTTCTGGGACCGACATGTAAGACCAACACTGTTCGGCTGACATCCTTCAGCACATATTAAAATCCATCATCTTTAGTCTTCTAGTTTTGTAGCATGGTCTTAGGTCTTCAGTGCTTGGTATGGTGAAATTGAGCTCAGCAAGTTGCACAGCAGAACGTTTAAGGGTATTTTTTTCACCTAATTAACAATATTTATATTCTCCCACACATTCTGTATTCATCATTAATTTGGTTCAAAATGCACTGAATGATGAATAGGAGACCAGCAACACTGTCAGCTAGAGGAAAGGGAGGCAGGCGAGCACCAGAACCAGGCAGTAAAATAAGAGGTTTTCTGAAGGGAATCTGGTGCTCGGAAGCTGTAAGTGATGGAATAATTGACTCCAAAACAAACCTTGAACATAGTCACTTACCAAAGCATTAGTGACAGAAACGTGTCAATAAATCATTTTGTTTAGCCGCCATGTCTGCCAATCACTGACATAAAAGTTGATATTTGAAACCCCAAATTTTATATTTGGTGAGCAATTTTTTACGATCAAGCTATGACAGAGATGTCTAGAGTCTATTCAGTGTGTTCTTCTTAAAAACGGCATAATGCCAACTTTCACAACTTGCAACTGATTAATCATTATTTCAACAGCAGATAATAAAAAGTGTCATGGGATTCAAAGGGTCACCAAAGTTGCTGAGTGAAGGTGAAGTAAAAGATTTAAGTTAAGTCAGTATATATTAAGTAGAGCATAGGCAGGAGACTATAGAAACATTCATTCATATGAGAGTGTTCTGTATTATTAATCGTATAATTACAGAATACAATATAAAGAGCATCAAAGTAAACTCTGAAACTTTCAACAAAAACACAGTTGATTCTTTTCTCATCTCACACTACTGCAAAATGAACATCTTCCCTACAAGTTGTTTGGCCATGTGTTTGAGTTAAGATGCCTCAGGGTAACTACTAGTCCTGAGGCTTTGAGGAAATTGTACCATATAGCAGATGTTAATGAAACATTGAAATGTTGAAGTGAAAAGGTGCCTATGAAGTCACTGAACTAAACTGTTTATAGTTTACATTCTTGCCAAGTCCTTTAAACATTTCACCTGTAGGAAATAAGAACTCTAAACTGCTCAACATATCGATCTACTGGACTTCTTCTCTGAAAAAGTAGTTCCTCCCTTTGAAATGAGGTCTCACTGACGCTCTTAAGGATGGATGTTGTTTGCTTGAAACTATAACTTACGAATGTGCCTTTTTTTTTTTCCTTTTCAATGTCTGTCTGTCTTGTTCAAGCGTTACAAAAAGACAGCATATTTTCACAGCAGGATCAAACTACAGCAGAGCAGAGAAAAGGCTGCTGCACCGTGCTTCGCCTTGAGTCAAACATCTTGAGTAGCTAATGGGGAAGGTGCGCCACTTGTGGTGCCTGTGGAGTTTCATCTACAGTCTTTCTTACAGTACTTGTGTCACATTTAGCCCTTTGAGTGATGGCAGCCTTACAGTAACGGACTGATAAGTGTTGCAGCCACGTTAGAGAGAAACTCTGGACATACGTAAATGTACCCTGTCGCCCTTCAAATCAGTTATTGCATTCTTGCTGTGAAGTTATCAATCAGTGTCCCCAAACTTTTTCATTTGCTCTGCTGAAATTGTCAAATGAGGTGCATCCAAAGCCTTTAAGTACTGAGGGCTTACAGCTAGTATGTCTGCAAAATGAAGCATAGCATTAAGACGTCTTTTTCCCCTAATTTTTATTAGGACAAATATAATTTTATTGTCAAGTGATGGTTATTGCTAAAGATACATTCCAGGCTCCTTGCCCCGTCTGTTTAACGTCTTGGTCTGGTTTCCTGTGAAACACGACTTTAAAATTGAACAGCTCTTACAAGAAATGTATTTTCTGGCTCAAATTTTAATGCTGGTCAATAAAAAGTGCTGAGTAAGGCTTCTGAATTCATAGAGGAAGATACCAATAAAAAAAAAAAAGCTTTGATTCAAAAGCTTTTTGAAGAAGACCATTCTTTTGATCCACTGCCCCGAAAAGCAAATGTTACTGCTCAGCCTGACAAATTATTAAATGCTCCCAGCTCAAATATTTTCTCATTCTCTCCCCTGCATGGGCCAGTGTTTCATTTCTATGGCAAGCACGAGCTGCCATTTGCAGACGATGAGAGCAAATGTTAATAATTTGCCCCTTGTGCATTACTGTGCCAGAGGAGCCATAGGGCTGGGAGCTAACATAGTGGTAAAGAGAGGGGGGGGGGGGGCTGACTTGGGTATTTACATAAGGTCATGTGATTGAGTTGTTCCCATAGATTTATCCGTTCCCTCAACACACTTGGGTGGGGTGAGGAATAAGAGATGTCCGTGTGTGTGTGTGTGTGTGCCGCCTCACGTTCTTCAGTGGCTCCAACTGAGAAATGGTGACACATCCTATAGATATAATCCTCTCCAGATTATGTGATAGTCTGTCAGGATCATTGTCTTCTACGCTACAGATGGTGCACAAGCAACTATAGAGAGCGTTTAACATTTCTGCAGCAGGTGTCGGTGTGTAGTCTTGTCACCTGTTTAATTTCTTCCTCTGCTTAGTCCTTTGAGACTTGCCTCTGATTAAGGTATATAGAACCTACCATTATGTTAATTCACCATTTTGGATATGACTGTTTTTTCAAAGGAAGAGGGTCATCCCACTTAAATATGAAATATATTGAACGCCATCTCCTATCTGCTCTGTATGTTGTTTCAGGTTTTGTTTTCTAAAATCAGGTGCATTTTGACCCAATAAAAACAATTTTTGTACAATACAATTGAGACAAAAACTAAATAAAAGTTAACCTTAGAAAACGAGAGCCTTGACAAAATGTATCAAGTCTTTCGTCAATGCTTGAAAACTACAAAATAATCTGAAAAATGGAAACATTTTCAAATGAACTGATTCTTGTTTTAGTGGAACGTCTTAATCATAAAACAGTATCCTCCGCTGCCCAAAATATCTCTTATTCAGAAGCGGATTTAGCCTTTGACCTGTTGTGCTACCATTAAGAAGAATCAGGTCTGTGTCAGTAGTTTTATCTGACGTTAGCATTCTTAGAAGTAACTCATTTGTGGAATAGATCAATCTACAATCCACTGAGAATTAGACAAGAAGAGACAACAAAACAGCTGGGACAAGCTACAAAGACATGCAGACCACCATGCTGACATTTATAGAAAAGTAAGACAATGTAACTTCATCAAGTGCTGTGGTTGTGTGTATCATTGCCATCTAATGCTGTGTTCTATTTGAATTGGGTTTTTCTGAATTTCCGAGTCGAACATTTCACCTGGAACGCCCCGTGAAGTCCAACCTGTAAAGTCTGACAAACCTCACCAACCCTGACCTGAAAATCCAAAAGGGCTGCTCCTCGCATCAACAGTAGAAAAGCTGTAGTCAATACTGTTTATTGGCACTACTGCGGTGTCTTAATAAAGTTGTCACGTACACAATATTGTCCAACTTCTATCTGGGGACGTGTTGCCATGGTGTTTGTAAGCTTAAAAGACGAGTAATGCGTTTTTACCAATTGGTATTACTAGTAATGGCTAACCTGGCCAAGTTTTCCGACTTTTTTAATGAAACACAGTTAACTCTAATGTCACATCATTTCCAGCTCTGACTTTGGATTTCCGAGGGAAATTGAACGCAGGATCAATCTTCCCTGAGATATTTATTAAAGAAACGGCACATTTTCAGTTTAAGACGGTCACTATAGAATGTGGCGGTGCAAGAAATAAACTGTTTTTATCTAAAAATATATAAGTTTTGGGCTATCAAATATATTTTTGTTCCGGTATTGAAGAGCTTCAGAGAATTTAGCTTAACAGACAAAGCGAGTACAGCACATTAGAAATGGACATTTCCAAAGGTTGATGTGATTGAGTTTAAACTTGGGCAGCTTTTTTTTTTCTCTCTCTGCACAAACTGAATGGTTGTCTCATCCAAAGCTAAATGGTTTTACACAGCAGAGAGGGAAGAGCGAAGGCGGGAGGAAAAGCAGGTCAGTTGTTGACATGAACGAATGGCTTACAGCGGTGCAACACACACCGTAGTGACCCAGATACGACCCAGTCCAAAGCTAGATGCGAGTGAATATTATATTATACAAGTCGCTGTATCTGCATTGACTGTTCAAGATAAGCTACAGAAACATTTAACCAAAAGTCCTTCTTTTGTGTGTGTGTGTGTGGACATCAGGGCACATTTATGGTTATGTGTGTGTTGTTGTGCACTTCTGCCCTTACAATATTTGTGTGTATTTCAAAAGTAACTCAACAATGAGGGAGTGAGAATGACAAAACACTCCCAAGTGAAAATGTGATGTTCTCAATGATTTCTTAAGTGCGCAGGAGATAAAAACGACCCCTGCACTGTGAATTATTGCCCTAATGTTGAAGCCACATGGTGGTGCTGGTGGACTGCTGACCGTGGGCCGTCAGCGGTTTATCTGTTGCAGACACACACTGCCTCCTTTCAAACCCACACCATCTCATTCTCGCCACCTCCCGCTTTGACTTATCGCATCCTTTTGCTCGCGCCCTCCCTTTCCCCCTCCTTAACATAATATGAGATGAGGTGAAGTGTTCTGGCAAATTAAGTGAAATTAAGACAAGAGAACAGCTCTACTCACCTATGTCGTGGGTGATTTCTATTGCACGGCCACTGATGGAGCCCTTGCCTGTGCTGTCCTTGGAGACGGGTGTTGATGACAGACTGCAGACCATGAAAGGAGTGGGAGTGTTGCATCCAGTGGAGGTGGGGGTGCCTGCACGACACATTACCATTCACCCTCTGTGGTTTGTTTTGTTCTCTTTTCACACTTCGCTATTTTTTTCCTCATCCCTTTTTTTTTTCTTCCATATCCTCTTTTTGGCTATGTGCCCCCCCCTCCTTCCTTGTCTGCCTTTGTCCTTCCAGTTCCCTGTCTCTCTCCAGTCTTCTGTGTTGGTCTTGTCATCCGCTGAAATCTTGAAGTCTTTTCCATCTCTCCCTCTTCCACCAATTCTGCTGTTATCTGTCCCACCACTTTTTTTTTTACCAATATCTACCTTTTCCTCATTCTGCCAACCTCTTCCCGTGGCACCTGTCTAATTCTCCTTGTACCCACTCTGTGGTGCCACTCATAGCTTGCTCCTTCACCCTCCCCTTCTTCCTTTCCTGGCTCTCTCTGCCCTGGCAGTCTGACAATTGTTGGAGCACACACCGCTAAGCAGTTATCACCAGCTCACAGAGACGTGTGTGAGTGCGAGTGTGTGCATGCGCTTATGTATGTTTGGTAATAATAGAATGAGAGTGCATATACGTGAGTATGTGTGTCACTGTGTGCATTATTCTATTTATATTGAGGTGTACAGCTCTTGTGTTCAGCAAAACAATACAAACAATGTGTCAGACAGGTTTGTATTATATTGCAGGTTTGTGTGGCTTTTCTACCATATTGTAATGTGTTTTTTTTCAACAATGAGGGGTAAAATGATACAGAAATGCTACAACTCCTCTCCTACCCCTGCCAAACATCCCTGGTGTCTAGCTGCTCTGGATCCATATAAAAGGCACTAATTTCTTTGTCTTCAAGGATTTTTTTTTTCTAGTTTTGGTCCCATCTGTCACTGGGAGGAAGTTGAAAGAAAGAAGGAATAAGCCTAGCTGGAATCCTTTGTCTATTGAAGGTAGATCACATTGTAGTAAGACCAGGACAATGCTTCTCTGGCCTTATGGGTACTGAGAGATGAGGGATGCAGGCCAGGCCTTAGACCTGAGAAGCCAGGCATGCCAAGCAATCATCCTGGAAGTAAAGTGATTGAGGATGGCTTGAATTGCTCTTGTTGATACATTGAAATCATGTTTTAAAGCTGTAGTGTTGTCCATTCAGACGATGGGGACATGAACGGATAGTCATAGAGTTATCCAAGGTTATGTCTGGTAATTAATTGAAATTGTATGGTCCTTCCATGTTGCAATCAGAAAGCATCAATGAAATTATGATGAAAAGTTGGCTTTGTTCACTCTGACACGCTTATGAAAAACACCTAATGCGGAGTCATCGTTTTATCCCCACAGGACGGCATGCATGAAAGATAACAACCTGTAACTGTTACTCATATGCCAACTGGTTCCCTGCAGTGATTGTGTGAATTCAACATGATAAGTCGAGCTTTTACATTTCTGGGATCAGGACCTGATTCGCAAATGTTGTGTTAGTCATGAGAGCAGTTCCACATTGTTGCTAGACATCCACAGCGGGACCTGAAGTTATTTGGATACGTTTAATCCTTTCAGTGTAAAAACTGCAACACTAGCGTTAGTAACATGCAATATAAAACTCATTAAAAATTAATTTCATGGGGTGAGGTGCAGTTTCTGTAGCTGTGACAATTTACCCTCTACCTTAAAAAGCGAGTATAAAGTCTGAAGTTGTGGCAATTTGGCTTATTATCACAGCAAGTGTGAATACTGTTCAGATACAAACTTACAGTGGAACAAAATGAACAACAGTATGGTTGGATAAATGAGGTAAATAAGGCCAACTTGTAAAAAGACGAGGCTAATCAATAGCACTCAATACATTTGTGTGTGTCAGGATTGTAGTGCATGAATCATTTTTCTTTTTTTGAATTGTGTTAAGCAAGTGTGCAGTTATCTTACATGCTGTTTCAGGTCATCTCTAAGTGTTAGCCCGCATCCAAGTCCTTCTCAATTATATTAGTCTTTTTACAGCTAAACAAAGAAGTGCTTATGGCTGAGGCAGAGGGGAAGCTTTTTGCATTGGAAAAACAAAATGAGCACTAAAGTGTCTCGGGGATAGATGGAAAAAGGAACAGCAAATTATCAATGTTTTTATTTTCCATTTTGCCACATATTGGTTGGAGGGCCCAGGAGACCTATTAAGGAACCAAGGGAAGAAAAACACCAGATTTCATCTGATTCCCCGGTGGGTAGAGTCTTACAATCTTAAGAACACATTCTGGAAAGCGTCCATGGCAGTACAAAAGTTTTAGTGGAAGTTTTGTTTTTTTCTATAGTATTGATCCACTTAGCATTTACTCTCCCTGGTGACTACAGCAATAGTGCAAATGAGAAAGACCTAAGGCAGCATGTGCGCCAATGTGATTTAAAGTGCAAGAAGTTAGACCACTCAAGAGATGCTAACTAAGCTCAAACTATAAATGTATCGTTAGGATAGTTTAAAAAACAAAAACATTAACATTTCGGCACAGAAAGGTCTGCATCAGAAAAGATGACGAATTAGCCCAAAACAAATGAGCCACTGATATGTTAGGAACAGGCTATTGTCATGGTGTTGCAGCTGTGATGAAACCATAGGTTGATGATTTTCAATTATTCCGTTTGTAATTCTGTCACTCAGGAAAACACTAAACCTTAGTGTCAGTGTCTTTTGAATTGTCAATTGTCCACCCACACAAGTGTTCTCACTTATTGTTCATGATTAAACCTCTTAGGACTACGTGGATGGACTGTGCTTGACTGAGATTTCGCTCACTTCCAATTTTTTTAAGAGCATAAACCTTCATCATTTTGGCCCTCAATCAGAACAAGATTTAGGTGGCCTGATAAAAATATTTGCAACAAAATAATATATATCTGCTCCGCTTATGCATATGTATGTAATGTATTTGAAATTGTGTATATGGACATGTTATGTAAAGACTGATGCTTTCTTTTTGAATATATGTCACCAGAAGATGCCTTGTGTTTTTGAGTTACTGTTCTAATGAGCCAGAATAACTGAAAACACCGTGCATGTGTGCAAATCCATATGGTTGTATGACTTATGGCCCATTTACTTCATAAAGGGTGGTGGTGAGCCTGCATTTGGTGACCTGAAGTTATTATTTGCAATAAAAGGTCTAGATGATAGTCCCAGTCCCAATGTTTTTAAACAGTGATTGCCAGCTATCAAAGTGATTGTGTACACTTACAACTATTTTTGACCAATTCAATATTGCACCATGAATAATGCAAACTAAAACATTCTTTACTATGGAATTGCTTTGGCGAACAACCTCACAATGTCTTGTGTGAATTTGTACAAGTTGTTCTTACATGGGTTGTTTGAAAGAAAAACACAAAATTTGAAGCAATTTGCTTCAAATTACAAGACAAACAGTAATATTTACTTAATTAAAAAAAGAATGGTATCCACGGTATCAAAATGACAGGCTAAAAGTAAAATATCCACTATTTTATGTTACAGGGATACACATGTTGGAACCGAACACAATAGGGATGTGATGTTAAGAAATGTGTATTTTTCTGTCAGTGTCAGAGGTTGAAAGCAGATGACTGAATCCTTTGCAAGAGAGCATTTTGCCCATAGGATTAAGATTGGATGGCTGGGTTTAAACCTGTCAAAAGAGCAGACTCAAATCCCTCACTCACAAACACTTTATGGTTCTCACTTGAGGTGCTTGTGAGCAGTGGTGGAAGGAGATATTTCTTTCATGCCACTTACTTCAGAAGCCATTCAGCACATCAACTGGATTGTGGAGGATTTGTGGGGCACCGAGCAAAGGAGCTACATTCGAGGGAAATTAGTTATCATGTGTTTCTTTCACATTTGTGACAGTCCTGTTACAATTCACTCTATTAAATCCTCTCCTTTTCAGAGTGTAGAATGTTGAATTAAAAGTAAGCAAGTAATAGTAAATATGTAAACGCGATATTGCATTCTTCGCCAAGGAAAAATAATCGTAGTCTCATTATGATCCTCTGCTCAGTGTTTAAAGGATAACTCAATGAACACCTCCTCTGCTCGGTATCTCACAGAAGTATTCTTGTCCACCTGGGCATGTCAGGCAATCATCATGAAACACTCATCTTTCACCTGATGGCAACACATCAACTGCATGTCATTCTGGTGTTCCCATGGCTCGTCAAGACATAATCCACACATTGACTGGTCCTCGGGAGTTATTTTGGGTTGGGCTCGTCACTGTCATGTGTGTTCTATGCATCAGAATTTCTTCTTAACATAAAGATCTGAAAGAGGCCTTTTATAAATCTCCCTATGACTGCTAATCGTCTTTTTGTTGCTCCGGAATTTGCCTTGAGTACGTTGAAATATTTGAATAGCAAGCAGCAGATTTTGTACAAACCATAAGCAATGCAAATCAATACGTGATTGATGAATGTGCTGTAATACAGCTCGATATGGCATATTAAGCTATTATTGGTAGCATGCTAGCTGTGTAACATATAGAGTGCATGCATAGTGGTGCGTACGTCTTTTAACAAAAACATTTCATAAAACTGGCTACATACCTGGCAGGTCAACACAGGGATACGGATTTACGGCCACAAAACAAAACAGTGTGATAAATGAGGCGTGAGGGTGAAGTCCAGTATATGTGCTTGTTGCCTCCCTTCCCATTCCCATTTCGAAAACTATCCAACCGGATGCAGTCCGTCTTCCATTGTCCTGGTCAATGCGGATCCACCCTACTTTTCATGTCTGTGTTCCCGGTAGCATATACATTATATCGTCCCCCTTCTGTTCAATTCTCGCCAGATCGTCTATTCTGCTTCTGCTTAAGCGTTCCAGACTTTCTCTGCTCTGTCTGCCTTTTACACTCTGCTCACCTTGCATCGTTCCCTCTACCTGACAGGTTTTTACTTTTGACTGCTTGCGCACTCGGGTAAACTTCATCATTTAAATTTTTGACGGCCTGGTATCCGAGTTACACTTTTGTTCACTCAAAGAATCATTCAGCTCACAAATAATACTTAAATATGGAAAATAATTAACTGAAGCATAACAGTATTTGTGTGTGGCTGTGCTTTTTTGCATGTGTCTTAAGTGTGATGGTGAGCAACGGAGGGATAAATTGGAGAGGACAAAAAACAGGAAATCATTTCCTGAGACATTATTTGAGTGGAATTACAATGTCTTGTTATTTTGCTAAATTATACAGTGTTTGCATAAAGAGCACAACACTTGGGAATTACCGTGCGTACCATGCAAATATTACCCTCTGTGTACTCTGTCCACCAGTTGCTGGTTATAATTTGGAATATCTTCAGCGCAATGAATACTGATTTATCAGCGATAGTAAAATTTTATAGCTTACAGGCTGCTCCAACCTGCCTGCTCCGCCGTAAAGAAAGGAGACCACGCAGTAAAATTGTAACTGAACTTGAACTTTTTTATAAACTCACTTACAAAACAACACAGA